GTATACACACGCACACAAATAAATACCGCATGACAGAAAACATATGGATAAAAATTAAAGGTGACGAAGATCCAAGATAATACTGCTGCCCGTAATGACAATGATTTAGAGAGAAAAAATAAAAAGCTCAACTTGCGTGTACTGATGCCATGAAAATTGCTCCGGATGAGCAGCAACATGTCCCAGTGAATCAGTGACAAATTGTGGCACAGGTTCGTTTGGAAAGCCCTGGAATGACTGCCTTTTTTACAGACACTATCTCGTAGAAAACGCCAGCCAAGCTTCATGAAACGGATTTACTTGATATTTCAGGACTGCGAAATAAATATAAAAGTGGTCTGCTTCGCTCATTCTCTGCCTTGAGCCGCTGCTAAGTGACCTGCTCAAAATTCTGAATCAAATTTGGTATGAGTGGCATCCGGAAAAATACTATTACTATTACAATTTCATAGGTTTTTCTTGGCTACCGAAGCTAATGTGATTTCAAATATGGGCGAGAGAAACCACACTGCGGCGACCAGCAGAAATAATATCACCGCAAGCACAACACCACTTACGAATCAGCGCGACGTAGTGATCTCTTGGTCTTTCTACTGACCACTGTTTACCCACCCATCACCCCTGAATCCGCCCATTCTACTTGGCTCACAGATTTTTTGATAGCTGACATAGATCGTATAATGGTGGGTTTTCGCCAACAAGCACGAATCAGTACTAATGTAGTGCGAAAACTTGCTCCTAGTCAATGTTGCGCAACTCAACGGCCCAGCCACTACAGCTAAAGCAGCCCTAAGAAACTACGTTAGATAGCGGGATAGGGATTATCCTCCATAGTGTGAAATACGTCTCTAAGTATGAAGATGAAAGCTAGACATGAAAAATACCTGTCCAAGATTCACAGCCTCGCATTCACGTGCAAGAGTTGTAAATTCCACCCTGAAAAACAAATTACTTCATAAAAAATATACAAGGTGTCTTAAAAGATTTTTAAACCGTAGCTCAATTTGATCGCAATTTCCCTTGAGTCCGATTCTTCCGACTCATCTCGCACACTGTTTGGAGAGCTGTGTGCAGGTGAGCTTAGAATTCATCTCCCCACCCGCCGTCAGCTCTCAAGGGATAATAACTCGAGTCAAACAACTATGCCGAGCCATGGCAATACCCAGAAGGCTGCACAAGAGGCACAAGCTATCACGCACATCATCCACCCAATGAAACAAAGTCATCAAAACAACGGCCCGCAAAACACAGTACTAATTACAGAGAGTCCCGAAGAAAAGATCGAGAAAAAAAAAACAACAAATCCCGACCAGCCTGTTCCTGTCGATGCTTAATTAGAAATAAAAAAGACTCATTGTAGCCCTGACCATAAGCTGGAAATGCTTTTTCGAACGTAGCTAAGCACGTTGGCAAAGCGTATCTGTTGGACATCTATAGATTTCCCGAATTCACAGAAAGCCCCTTCCATCAAGAAAAGTCAGTTTCACGGTTTATTAGACTTAAACGTAGGAAAAAATTAAAATTGTCACCTAGTGTTGTGCAGACAAATCACGAAACATTCGCTAACCTACCTCAAGCGTTTCTAAGAATTTGTATATCGTTACGATAAGTCATGTTCCCTCATTATACAGAGGAGAGTCTATATCAGCATTTTATTCCTACAGTACCTCTTAGAGTAGCATTACAAATGAATCCAGTGCCAGATATAAACTTCCCTTAAGAGACTATACGCAACTCTATCACTCCCTCGGTCTCCAAAAAGACTGAAAGGAAATGTACTGAAAATCCATGAGCTTCAACGAACAAACGAATGGTAATATAATGATATTTGCAACCTCTGAGAAGTCCCCCCTTTGTTAGCTGCATCCCTTGAGGTGAGAATCATATGTCAGTTTGTAATGAATCATAAAGTCTATATCCATCACTTCTCCCATCTTGACATGCCAGCCATCCGGGGAGTAAATACAACAAGGTATGTCCGCATCAATTTGCATCCATATTCTGAGCTTCAAATTCTGTAGGTCGTTTATTGCCGTTTCTTACGAGAATTGGCAGACTTAATCGACCATCCTCCTATTTCCATGCACCATGTGCCAACATTCCACGGCTTACCTGTTCGGCTGCATTTCCATTGGTGCGCACAACTCCCAACAAAGTTCCTAAACCTCGCGTCGCGTACGGTCTAGGCCGAATATCCGGTGATGAGCAACGCGCTTCTTTGGATTTTCAATCGATTCGCGGCCTACCGTGCACTAAAGAGAAGATCAGTTAAAGTAGTCTTAGTTGCGGCCGCTCACAAGTTGCGACATCTTGGATCTGTAGAGAGAAAACCTGAAGAAGGCGAAAGCGACTGGAACCACCCCGGGAATTGAGAGCGCCGAGAAAAGGTGCTCACGAAACGCTGAGCTTCTACCAGGGTCAAGCGAGGCGTCGAGGAAAATTCGGAAATACGACCCCCCCCCCTCCCTCTGCCGAAGGCCGAAGTCCATGAAACAACCCTCTTTAAAAGCCGAACTATGAAAAAGTTGTTTAATTCTCCACCAAAACTGCTCATAAAAAAGCCCTGCTACCCCATCGTCCACAAAAAAAACTCGTTTAAAAAGTATAAAAGTGAAAAAGTCAAAGAATGATCATTAATGACGAGTCCTGTCAAACGAGCAAACGAGAAACGGAGCAAAAAACGTCAAACTAGTCACTAGAAATGGCGTACTATGACAACACCTCTTCTTTGTTTATTTCCTCCACAAGACTTACCAAATTCTAGTACTACACAGATTATGGTTCTCAATTTACACGTCCCCCTTTCGCTCAAAGGAAGCCTTGTAAAAGCCTTCGCCAGCTGTGTGTTGACTGGACTTTGGCGTTGACCGTGGAGCAGCTTATTTACTATTGAAATTTGAACAAATATTCAAATGATTATAACTTTCTTCAAAGTTAACGAATTTTCAATCTGAAAGCTGATTTGGGAGTTTTGTGAAGAGCTTTTTCTAATCAGTACTGAAATTACAGGAAGTTATAAGAAATAACAAATTTAGATCAAATAACGAGGAAAATTCGAGACGAGCACGAGTTTTTACACTTTCCGGAGCAATAACTTGCTTCATTTCCGTCAAATTCAAAAAGTTGATACGTCATACAAAACTAGAAGATTTTCTCTATCAAACGGTCGCTAAAGCAGCTTCATACGTCCAGTACTCAAAAAATGGCCACGTTGAGGATTTTTGCAAAATTAACGAGGAAAATTCGTGATGAGTGCGAGTTTTTACGCTTTCCAAAGCCATAACTCCGTTCAAACTCATGCAATCTGGAAAGTTAATACGTCATCATAAACTAGAAGATTTGCTCTTTCTATAGGCAACTAAAACTGCTAAATACGTTCACTATTTAAAAAATGGCCACGTTGAGGATTTTTGCCCGAGTACCGCCGAAAGGTACTTTTTCGCTACATTAGCACTATCCCAACGACTATAGCTCCTTGCAGGAGCGATTACATACTGAAGTAGGAGCAGATTCAAAATCCTCGTGCTTTTCTCTCTGCAAAAAGTGTAAAATTGTTTAGCGGGTCTCAACTTTAAAGGTTACATGCTTGTGAATTTGACGCTGAAGGCTGCGTTTCTTGTTGAATAGTGTACTCCTCTCTGTAATTTAACATGAACTCTTTCAGAACCCTCTTGATTCTTCCTGAATTAAGATTCGTTATCAAGATAGCCGTAGCTGAAGCGCGCGCAACCAACTGGGCCCACTCTGGGATGCGCCGTGTGCTTCACATCTCGTTGGATTTGAGGACCTACTTGAAAGATAAAATATCCCTAGAAAACGTGCGAATTTCGGATCCTTTGACTTGTGTGGTGATGAAACACTAAAGTCACTAAGAATTGCTAAGCGGACACCTCTAAATCACGAAGATTTTGTGTGGACGGAATCAATTGTTATTGGAAATACTCTGGCCTGGTATCGATTCGATCCTTAATGTTTGTCCTCCGACGATGATCCTACTGTATCAATCGGGCCCGATCTCTCCCCAGCGGGCCAATACGACCCCCCCCCCTCTGTGACATGTCGAGGATTCCTCAACGCACGCTTGACCCTGGTTGACACACATGTGGAGGGTGGTCGATAACAACTGCTCACAATCCATGATACGTTGCATAAGCACCACTGCTCAGTCCAACGGGAGGAGCACAGGAGAGACAAAAGTTAAAGAGCGGTGTCTGGTGAGGGCCGAAATGTGGCGATCGCGCCACGCGGGCACCGTTTTCATCGACGACAGAATTTCTCCTCACATGGAGCGGAGCTATAATCTTTCCAAAACTCCGAGGACGCCCGCACGAGGTCTTGAGGAAGTCAGTGAGAGTGGAAGGAATATTCGCCACAAGCAGCAGCCGAACCTTTATCATGGTCTGGACAGGGGTCTCAACTACCGGTCGCTCACCATCACTGCCTGTTTACAAAGGAATACAACTTGATACTAGACCGAGCCAAGGGACATTTCGGTGCACCATCTGTTACTGAGGTATCTAGCCACTTTGAGGAGGGGTGATGATCTTTTCAATAGGACCCAGCTTCTGCATAGGAGGCAAAAATTGTTCAGGAGCGCTGTTAAGGCACTCTTTCCGATTTCACATCCTCGAACGAATGGCTCTCCTATCCCTTGATTTCAGCGTGCTGGACCATCCTATGTGGGCTATGTTAGGGGGCAGAGCCTGCACTAAACATTGCATCCACATGGATGAGCCGGAGCCTTTTCTCGGCAAAGTTTCGAAGAGAACACGCCAGGATCCCATACATTCATTGTAAAAAGCAAAAAAAGTGGCTGCAATATTTCTGGGACACCCTATAGAGTTGCTCAGTAAGTTTAAAGCAGAACTAAGATTTTTTGATATGATAGGGGAAGATCCCATAATTTTAGACTACTTAACGACGGCACCAATGGAGCCTTGTATTCGTCTTCCACAATTTTTTACCGTTAGGAACTTGAAGAATATTGTATCATCGAAACTGTACAATTCAATCGACCCTTCCACTGTCCTAGGCAATGGAACGGGCAGAGAGAGTAGACGCTAAGCAACCATGTTGTGAAACCCTGATTGAAAAAGATAAGAAGGGCGAACAGTTCATTCGAAACGCAACCATGAAGTAGAACAGTAAATATGAGCGTGAAAAGACATCATGACGATCAGCACAGCATGGCAAGTGCTGCTGCAGAATAAGTGAAGAAGTAGACGTGCTAACAACTTTCAAGATTTTCTATGCATCTGGATTTTTGCAATTTTGAAATACAGAGTTCTGAGCAAGTACTTATTAACCCTTTCGGCCCTGGCGGTGGCAATTGCCACCATCAAATTCAAATGTTTGCATTGCCGCTGAAACAGCATGGTTTTTCTAATCCTGCTAGAGTTGCTTCAGTCAACCTTCCCCTTCCTAATTATGAGCTAAACCGGCTATTTCATTGTTTGTTGCTCCGAATTTGAGGTCATAATTTCAAAAACGTCTAGTCCCACAAGAAGTTCATCGACCCCTAGAAAGAGACATTTCCAGAGTAGGCAGTCAACGCAAACACTATGAATAAAAAGTGGCAAAGTTATATCCACCCTGGATAGAAGGTGCACTAAAACTCCCAACTCCCAATAAGACTTATCCATTATCTCTATAAAGTCAGCTAAAGGAAACATGTTGCGACATTAAATGAATTAAGGTCATAAATCTCATCAAATGAGGAACATAAAGCGTACCAGATGCTAGGTTTGGCTCCTTGAACACGACTTGCAGGCGTGAAATTGCTCATATTACGAATCTGCCGTAGAGCAGTGAGAGTGGAGCGAAGCGCGTTGCACGACTTGGACATCAGGCCTTGGTCAAATCGATGCTGCACAAAGATACCAGTGTTTTGTAAGGCTTACGCCTGCCGATGTAAGATGCGTAGTCAGACAACTACGCGATCCTCTAACGACCTAATTTTTTTGCTTTTACGTTCCTATCTTACCAGGAACGGATGATTGGTCGAAGTGGCCATATGTAAAGAGACCTACACCGGTGGATGCGTTTTTGGACGCTGATCTCGAATCTGCTTTCCAAATCTGCCAAACGATTTTCCGAATGGAGTTATGAAGGAAAGTAGTGCAGCGGTAGTAGTCCGGGTTCACGTGCGAGACGTCGTAGGATCGAATCGATTCCCTGGCGACTCTTCTTTTTGCCTTCGCTGCAAAATGATTGAAAAGGCTCCCAGCTACCTTACTCGATCAATGCTTGCCTGTAGTTACCCGTGCAAAGACTTTGCGAGGAGTTTCTAATCAGTTTCGGCGGTACTTACTAAAGACTGCACATGGAGCCCACAGAACTCTTGGCAGACGTTTTTGCAGCAAACAAGTGTGATATTCGTGTTCCGGAGATTAAAATACCCCTAGGGACAAGTTTGTAGCCAAATTTGAGATTTCGACCAAATTTCGAAATAAGCTGGGTGGGTATCTATCCATTCATCCATCAGCCTATCATCGAAGCCTACATAGCCTTGAGACGATATAAGTTTTTTTTTGGTTTCTGAAGAGTGTAAAGCAGTGTCTGGTTTTCTGTTCGCATGATTTCAACCCACACATTTTATTATTTTCAAATTTAAAGGGTCGCCGTCGTCCAAATAGGTCAACCCTGGAACTACCGGCTATGGATATGTAGCATCAATGAGTGACTCGCCCACTTTTTTGAAGTTAATTCAAAATCTCGAATTTTTCTAGAAATTGGCCCCAGGAGTTATTGGACTACTTGAACACAGATCTCACATTCGTTCTCAAAAACGGCTAGTGCGTGCTCCGTATACTAGTCCGCACATTACTCTTTAGTGTTGATTAGGAAAAATTTGAAGTAATTCGAGTTATTGCTCTCATATCAAAGCAAAGTAGGACGAATGATGAAGGAATCATGTTTCACTACTGCCAAATAGTCAGTCACAAAAATGCAAAAGCAAAAGCACACTACAGATCCCAACCACTGACCCCGGAATCCCAAGCCCCCCTTAACCACTAAGCACCAGCACCGCAACTAGGCTCACTTCTTCGTTCACAGGCCGCTCCGATTGAGGCCGATTCCCCACTGTCTTAAACTGTGTGAGGAAACGAAAAAAACCTCCGTAACTCCGTTCAGCGAATCGTTTGGGCAGATTTGGGAAGAAGATTCGAGATCAGCGTCCGAAACCACATACCATGATACTTGTCTCATTTCATATGGCCACTTCGACCCTCATCCTTCCCTTATTACGAGGTCGAATCGTTGCATTAGGCAGGACTGGTGTCGAGCATTACCCATTTCCGGAAGGAGGTCATACCAGACGTCCTCTCAATTTCGACGACTGCTCTGGTAGACCACGCCTTTGTCCGGCTTCCTCCGTATTATCCACTTGAAAAGTCTCTATATCTCAATCCGGTGATGGGATCTACCCAAAATGTTTGAACGAGGGTCTCATCCAGTAAAGGGGGGGGGGGGCATTGTGATGCAACGTCAAGTGGCTGCCCTCACCCCCCACCCCCCCCCTAGACTGCCTTCACTCCCCCTGGCTCACGGGGTCCCGTACTTCGAGAAACCTGTGCGCCAGGGGGAGTGTAGGCAGTCTAGGGGGTGGGGGTGAGGGCAGCCACTTGATGCCCCCCTTACTGGATGAGACCCTGAACGGATTCTAAAATTTTTAAATAGACTCCCCTGTTCAAGTTTGCTCAGCAGACAGCCAACCCTACTCACATTTCCCATGCTATTGAGGTGAGTGACCGCCGGTAGCTCTCACACTGGATGAACGTGGGTTAAAGCAACAGTCCCAGCAGGGGGGTGTGCACCTTTAGTCAGGATTGACCTTTCACACCTCCTCGCCGTGGTTATCTCGCACCACCCTGTAACCTGCCTCTGGGTGGACCTCGCTTAATTAGCTGAGCTGAGTGCTGACCCAACTCCGACAGACTCATTATAGAGGATATATTGATATTGGTAATAAATTCATTTATGCAGTAGCGGTTGGAGGAAACAAAATATCAGAAAAAAAGGATAAAAATGGGAGCTCAAAAATAACTAATTTTTAGCTAACAGCACTCGCAGTGCAAGCCGTTTTCCACGCAGAACAGCTACGAAAGGTGAAACTCCAGTTTGGGGGGGGGCACTCCATTGTTTCTCCAATGCTCAAGATAAGGATGAGAGCACTCATGACACGTAATCGACTCATTTAAAGTAGACTTCTGATAAGTATCGGTGTAATGTGGAAGAAACCCTGAGATGTTTTCACATTTCCGCCTGCCATGGTCCAAGGGAAACGGTCCTGGACCAGGAGAAATGGACACCTCTGCCTAGGGCTAAGGGTGGAGGAGCTCCAGGGTGGATCACCTGTGCAGAAAAGTGGATGGGATGTGGGCAGGTAGTGTGGAATGTAGGACATCCACCGGTCCTTATCAAAAGTACGCTCGAAATGAGTCGTTCACTTATTATCTTATCCATAGTGTTGGATAGCCCAAATGAATCTCTAGTACTACGGATAAGTTAGCAATGGAGTGGCCCCCCGAACTGAAGTTTCACCTTACGAAATTAAAAGTTTCGCCTAACTTCCCTACAGGCAAACTAATTTATGAAAGTGTGTTGCCAAAACGGCGCATCTCAAGAAGAAATAGAACGACTTTGCAGTAGGATGTCAAGAAATGTCACTAATACATCTGTATAATCTGAATTTTTTGTTAACTATGCTAAAAATTTGTATAAATTAAACTTTGGTTTGTTTCCGTGAATATAATAAGATAGACTTGATAATCAATACTGCGCATGAGAGCGATATGTTGGAGCGAGGTCAGCACTCAGCACACCTAATTAAGCAAGGTCTACCCAGAGGCAGGTTACAGGGTGGTGCGAGATAACCACGGCGAGGAGGTGTGAAAGGTCAATCCTGACTAAGTTCCCTCTCCCCCCAGCAGGGTTTTAACCTTCGACACTAATGGCGTGGAACGATGCGCTAGCCCTAGTCAAGAACATAAGAAGTGTGACTGAACAAAAACTCACCTTGGAAAGCCGCCAGAAAGGGAGCTGAACAGCTTCGAAGTGGGCGTGGTTATCAATCGGCTTATAACTGGACCGAAATAGCCTAGTTTCCAAATAGTTACTATGCGTGAAACAAGGATCTAATAATTATATTCATATTCATCTGTACTCCTGCTGAGCGGTCGCGTTTGAACTGCCTGCTGCATATTCTCACCTTGACTCTTTTTTCTTGCTTACATCGGCTACACGGCTTGGTATTCTTATAGCCAATATAGTCTACTTAAACAGTGACAAACAACAGGGAAGTTGGAAGTGTTTTCTTCGTCGTCTTTTTTTTGAGCTGTATTGAT